GTGGTTCTGTGCCTTATTAGGGTGAAGGGCAAGAAGGAACTGAAGATTGAACCAATAAGTTTAAGTGCTGGGTGTGTGAATATGGCAAAAGATGATGCTATACTCCATGAAAGAATCTTTTGTGCAGCTGTAAGTTATAGCTCTCAGCCAGTCTGCTGTGTTTCCTATCAAATACAACATGGCTTTTTATTCCTGATGTTTCAGGGAGTCTCCAGTGAAAACTTACAAGTAAACTGTGTTGTCAATGCGATATTGGCTTACAGCTCCACCGAGACTGACCTGGAACAGACATAAAAGCTGCGAACTGACAGTGACATGATGCAGGAGGACGGCTGTGAGTTTCCTACTGATATTCACTGGCTGAGGAGAAATAAAACATCAGCCAGTAACGTTGCATATGATGCAGGATTTCTCAATCAAACTTTGGAAAAGAGAAGGCGGAGTCAATATTTCCATTGAGGATTGAGACTTTGAGACTACTGTTGTATTCTATTTTTTTTTTCCTCTCACATTTACAGTTTTGGTTTGATTTTACTCACACACAGCCACTTTACTGCAGATGGGACAAGTGAGGAGATGATCAAATATGTTGATATGGTTATCTGACTTAGCCTGTCAGGCCATAGAGAGTTGGGTGGAGTTTGGAGCTGAGAGAAAGCTCTGGACACCATACTTAAGACTGAGTCTACATGTATTTGGGGAAAAGTAAAGATATATATGATTTAATCTACAATCTTAAACTTTATATCATGTAGTTATTATTCTCAAAGAAACACAATCGCATTGGTAGACACATTGGTATTGGTAACACATTGGTAGAAGATAAGACAGTGAACAGCATTATTCTTCGGTGACAGGTATCCATTATCTGTCCCCCAGCCAAGCTGAGTTTACTGAGATAAATTCTGACCTGAGTGTTTGTATCAGTTCCATGTTAGTCTTGTTTTCACTTTTTTTTTTACAGTGCAATATCTGCATAGTTGAGAGCTACAACACAAAGAGCCATTCAAAACTACATCCCTAAATCAAACTCATTTTAAAGCATGGTGGACGTAGCCTTAAATGAATGTTAACACGTGGGGACCTATCAAACAGTCTTTAGGACCTACTACATAATATTTAAGACCTAAATTACATTTTAGAATTTTTACGATCCCGCAGAAATTCTGAAATACATTTCACAAGAACAAATTCTACTTTTCACTCCCCTTCCTTTATCTGACAGTTATATGCTACTGACATTCCAGATTAAAAGCCCTGCCTTCTTTAATAGACCTGTGTTCGGGTCAAAGCTGGGTGGAGCTATAGAAACGATCTCACCAAAGTACATGTACTATTATTAAAAACTGTTGATCGTGTAAAGAGTCTATAAAGTAAAAATAAACTACCAGTAGAGAGAAACAGGTGTGACTGAGGTCAACAAGAGAAAAGTCCTGTGTGTTTACTCATTTATGAGCTAATAAAAAACATTTGTGAAGACTGAACAACAGTGAAGTAAATGAAGTAGTAACATTCAACCAGGTAATGATTGTGTATATGTAGTTATAAAATATTACTGCACTGCTTTTAACAAGCAGTTTATACCTTTAATGAAACACTATGACTGG